TGCAGTCACGCTGGAGAGAGAGCGAGAGAGAGAGAGAGAGAGAACAGAGCAGGAGAAAACATCCAACATAAGTAGAGTGCAAAACAACTAATTTTCTTGCTAGGATTTAATGTAATGAAACAAAACAGTCTTTTATATTTCAGTTAAGTAACTTAGAAATGAAATTCTCCACTGGTAGTACTGACAACTAAGTCATAATTTATAGTCCTATGCAAGACTCCACTGGATGGCAGTAGTTCTTTGTATTGCATGCAGCTTACATCATATGTGTAGATAAACCTGACAGTGTGTATTGACCGCCTCACAGCTTTCATTAGAGGCAGTAATCCTGCGGCTAGTGCTTACAGCTCTGTTAATAAAGCACTGCACTACTTTATTGAACACACCATGCTGTGAATGTTCTAAATTAGCTTTATCAGACAACACCTGCTCAGAAAGAGAGCTACTGGACTGGAAAAGCTTTTGTGTGTGTGTGCACATTTGAGCAACTGAAAATCTTTCTCTGGTATACATGAGTGTGACTGAAATTTATGAATCCTTCATAAACTACAGTTTATGAGTGTCCTTCAATTGAATTGAACATCCCACCCAAAAACACTCTTAAAAAGGTAAAGAAATGAAATAAACAAGATGAATAAGATGCTGAAAAAATGTTAGAGGGAGAATGTGTAAAAGGGGAAAGACCCAGGAAATGAATTGCATGTCAATTCCTGAGTAATGGGAACTATTCAGAACCTGAACATTTCACTGATCCATTATTTAGAAGCCTCACATGCATCATGATGGCGGTAAAATATTCTGTCAAAAACCTTAAGGTTTTATTAGACCAGATCCGTGAGGATAGCTTCTAACAAACAGTACAAAATGAACTATTCCAAACACAAATATTCTTCTTCTATGTCCTTCTATAAATATTTTATTTGACAAAATGAATAAGATGCACCCAACTGTGATTTGTACACAACTTGTTTAGAGCCATACACACATGGACATGGCTTTGAGACATTAAAATGTATTTCACACAAACAGACATATGTGAAATTTATTGATTTGAGGGAAATTATTACAAAAATTATGAAATACCCCAAGTTAAGTGTGTTGCTTTATCTCTGCTTTTGACTATCACAACTGTGTAAGCAGTTCAGTAGATGTTCCTGTTTGAAAGCCCTTGCAGATGCCTTTTCAATATCTATTCCATAACTTAAAAAAAAAAGCACACCCTTATTTCCTTCTGGTTTGGCAAAGTCAACTCATAAACATGTTTTATGTGGAATTTTTCAGTTTTGGTCATCAGATGCTCCTGGCTGGGGATCCCTTGTAATGAAAGAAATACTATATAGTGTACAGCAGGCCCTTGGAGCAAATTAAGGGCTTTGGAGCCTTGTTGTATTACTTCTTCAATTTTTTAAATGTGTCCCAACTTTCAATCTTCAACTGTTAAGACTACGTACCATAATTAGATGATTTAAACTAAGCATAAATTCTCTCCTTGTCATGCTGCATAAATTTCAAGGTTTCCAAACCACATCAAGGTCACAGAATTACTTATTAATTCCTCCTTTTTTTAAATCATTAATTCATGAGCTAAAATAACATCTGGCCAAACAGTGTTGCCTCTGGTTACCGGGCACCCAGTTTCACTGGAGTCTTCCTCTGAATCAAAGATAGTGACAGGGTAAAATAAATAATATCAGGAAATGACATACAGAATCATCTTATGGACAGTTTACAAAAGAAAAAATAATAAAGAAAGTAATATATACAAGATAAAATTGGCTCAGATCATTAGTACATAAGTGTGCGCACACACACTTACTGGAAACAGTCCCTCTGGGCAGAGACATTCTTCAGATACTGCTTCAGAGCCTCACAGAACTCTCCCAGCTGCTTCTGGGATACCTTCATCTCTTGGCGAATCAGGTAGAGGGACTGCAGGGTGAAAGAGGGAGACAGATAATAAGGAAATATAACACATTAAGGAAATCAGTGGCATAGTGCTGGAGAAACTGAAAGAATATAAAGAATCAAATTGGCTAATGAGTGCCATCTCAAATCCCAGGCAATAATAACTATGCTCCCTGATGGTAAGGTTTTATGAGGGATCTCAGTTAAATGGGTTTAAAATGTATCTCATTTGTTAACGCATTTGTTTAAATAACATTCTAGCCACACCTCTTGAATTCTCCAGAGAAAAGAGCAACTGTGAAAAAATAATAATTTCTATGAATAGGAGATTCATAAGTGCACATAATAACATAAAGGTTCTTCAAAGAGCAATTCATTATTTACTGCACTGTTTAGAGCAAGAAGACTCTGGGTTTTTCAAGAAACCCAGAAAGATCTTAGCAGTGGGATCATTAGAATTTGAACTCGAACTTGTGAGGACAAATGTTTTTCTGTTGTGTCATTTGGGAGCCGCAAATGTGGTTTCTGTCACCATGTGTGAGACTAACCCAAAGTAGTAATAGCATTAACTGTCCTGTCTGCTGCTCTTCCCCACCTCATAAACAAAATGTTCATAGAGCATGCATGGGCCAGTGTCATTTCTGCCCCGATGGACCTGTATTAGAACTTGTAGTTCCCACTAGGACATTACTTGCAATTATAACTCTATGAAGCTAAATGGGGCAGTGAGCATGCTGCCCCATAATTGCACAGCATCTAGAAACGTGACCAAATCATTGGATATCTTTCAAACAGCAACATTCTTTTATATTGTTGGTCACTCAAAAGAAGAACTTAATATTTCAATGGAATTTAAACTGTAAGGAGTTGAGGAATTAGGAAATTATGAAGATTAACATTTTCGAATGGCGGATATATGGTTGAGCTCTGCCCCACCTGCCCTTTGGACGCACTGCCACTGTTTATAATAATGCAAATAAATTCACCTATATTCCAGATATTTTAATTTGTTAAGATGACATTTTTGCAGTGTGATGACTTGTGGCAATTGAGTTGAAATCTGCACTGATGCATCCCTACTGGATATCACCTAGATTGTGAATCCTCAAATAATGTTCCTAAGAGGTCTTTGATTGTCTAACTTTTCCGCCAGGGAGGAGTAACAAAGAGTAGTCCTGTTTTACAGCACAATTACAAAGGCTAGTTTCCCCAGGGCCTGGACAAGAAACAAACTGAATCCTGAAAATATAAACCGTGAAATTTCATCAACAGCACTATGCAACACAACACACCTTAAAATGCAATCAGGAAAACTCTATTACTGATCCCAGCCCACCGTCAGTCACAATAACCACATGCCCTTTTTTTAGGGAGTAGAAATTCAGTTCAAGCTTGAGTAAAACAAAATTTTGTGATCTTTTTTCCTTGATATTTAACCATAGGATTATTTTGAAAGGGCTCAATTTGGACTGACTGACTTTCATTAGTTTGTTAGTTTTCTTGAACAGCAAGGAGCCATCAAAGGCTAGGCTAAACCCCAGTGAGCTTGTCGGACTGTGTGAAGATGCCTCATAAAGTAACCATAAACAATCACTGCGCTCAGTGGGACATCTTTGTAGTCTGTTAAAACCCTGAAGGCTCGCAAATTACAGTTCATAATATTTTTCACATATTTCATATTCTTCACCTTCTCTCTATAGCTTTTTCTTATTGAATTATCTGACTGCAGGTTGTATTTGCCCAGGATTTGCATGTTGCATTGAATGTTACATGCTATGCTTTATTCAGTACACCTGCAAACAGACACTACACTGAGTCTTGAGCACTGAATAATGGGAATTTTTTGAAATTTTATTTCCCCTTCTCAGTGTATGAGGCATGTCTATGCTCTATGCTGTCAAAATGTATATTCTATTTATAAGTAAAAAAAGGTTTATGGGACTACAGCGAGTTTTTGTTGCATTTTAATAATGCATGAAATTAAGCTGTCTGAAAGTGGCTCTTCATGCTTTGAGCTCTATTGCTAGTAGAAGTTCCTGTGGGTCTATATTGTGATGTGTACGCTGTAGCGTGTGAGTGGAACGATGTACTAATGTGTGAGATATGGTCTACACTGGGAGTCGAACACAGGGATGCAACCTCAAAAGAAGAGTATGGAAATTTCAGTTTCCATGGAAACTGGGGAATACCATCCTCCCTCTTTTTCTTTCTCTCCCACATTCCACCCATCTCTCCTGCTCTTGGAATGGTGTGTAAATCATAGGTTCATTTCCCCCCTCATAATCATTTGCATATATTTACATACTGAGCTCCCCTTAAACAGGATTAAAGGGCTAGACTTGGAGAATGGAATGGGTTGAGCATTGATAAAGTAAGCTTGCATCTTAGGCAATGTATGTGCTCGTTCTGCAGCCCTCTCCATGATAATGGCCCTAAATGAGCAGGATGGCTTTCAGATAAGCTGTTACGTATCTCCCTCCAGGGTTTTCAATTTCTCTCTCCTTCTCACTTGCTCCCCCGCCAACCTCTTCCAAGCTCTTGCTATCTCTCTCCCTGCCTCTCTCCTCCTGTCCTTTCCTTTGTTCTTCCTTCATATCGACAAGCCTGATGATGTATATGCCTGCATGCAGGTCTAGAAGAGGCATGCATGGAAACCATTAAAGCCAGTGAAACTTAGAATACTGCATAGTGAAGCCTTAAAAACTTGCTGAGGCTACAGCTATACACAGCAGTGAAGCCATAAAAGCCTGTCAGAACGTTTATTCATAAGCTTTCCCTCCCAGGAGGAGCTTGAACAGAAGATAGGACTGGATAGCCTCCTTATCAAGCAGATTCAGAACTGGCATTGACAAGCTGTCCAATTAAAAGGGGAGCTATCACGTCTCAGGGTGTTTAGTACACCTGCTTAATGCCAGAAACAGGTTCATGTGGTACATCTACTGGGGTTGAGAATCTTTAGGTGTGGGCGTAACTCATCCACAGCATTACCTGCACTGCCTTCAGGGTGGCAGAGGTCTACACAGTAGGAGCGTAAAACTAAGCCACTCCGTGCTTGGGACAGGCACTGAGAATGCAGCCCCAGTGGCTGGGGTTGGTGCCCAGGGAGGGGTTCAAACCCACAATCCTGAGATCAAGAGTGCCATGCTTTACCAACTGAGCTAGCCGGGTGCCTGGGCATGGCCTACATCACAATGTTTTTTTTTTCTCACTTTCAGTAACCACTTTATCCTGGTTAGGGTTGTGGAGGATTCGGTGGGAGTGAGATGAGATGCTAGACCATCATAGGGCACCATCCACACACACATTCACACCTAGGGGCAATTTTTAGTAGCCAGTCCACCTACTGGCATGTTTTTGGGAGGTAGGAGGAAACCAGGGAACCCAGAGGAAACCCATGCAGACATGAGAAGAACATGCACAGAAAGTCCACCCACCGGAGCTCAGGATCAAACAAGGACCCTGGAGCTGTGAGGCAGCAACACTAACTGCTTTTTTAATTAAATGTGAATTCTATCATTATGCCCCTGGAAATGCTGAAAAAACACATGGATGCTGAAAAAAAAAGTCAAACCATTGATGTCTTTCAAAACAATAACGTCTTTACCAAAGGGAACGTCTGTTTGTAGTTGAAAACAGAAGCCACTTACTAATATTTCTATCAGATTTACTTTAGTTTTGGGGTTTTGTTGCATTCCAGAACGATCAGAAAATTTTAACTGGACATCCTATCAGAATCTACTACAACGCTGGGAAGCAGTGCTACTGCTGCTCCTGTCATTATAATGCCTGTATGACTTTTCAGTAAGATTTTCATTTAGCAAAGATGAAGAATGATGAAAAGTAGAAATATGTTGCCCTGTGCACAGTGTGTGGTCTGCGTGGGTTATATTGAGTGGCAGCTCTATAAATATTTCTTTTGTGAATTTCGAGCCAGTTTATATAGAAATATGTTAGAAATATGTTTTTCTTTGGAGTTCAGTAAAGCAGTAGTTGGGTCAGGCTACTGGAGCCAACCACAGAAGACAAACAAACAAACACAAAAACAACAGGGTGCCTCCTATTTTTTATCTGTATTTGTAACATTATCTGTCCTTTCTGAATAATGCATTCATATTTGGTCACCTCTCTACTGAAATATAAGTAAAAATGTTTCTGAAATATTCCTTTTATGACTGAGTAAACACAATGCAACAAAAAAATGCATGCAAATATATTCAAATAAGCCAGTGATAGCTGCTGTGAATGCTGTGGCAATTAAGTGGGATAACAGCCAAATGTGCCAAAGGGCTATAATTAAGCAGCCACTGAAACTACAATCAGCAAAGTGATAGAAATCAGCAAAAGCTTTTTTAATGACTATGAGGCAGTTTAACTCAGTTTAAGGCATGACCTTGTACTGTATTACATGGTATTTTATGTTTTACAACATGAAGCATCCTTTCATTTTGTCTTGTGAGTTTGCCAAGCATCAATCAAATTAATATGACACTAATGATCAACAGTTTTACTTCAAAAGCAGTTGTTTTTCCACTCGCTGTGCATTTACAAGCATTACAACATCAGCCTCTTTTTTTTTGTTTGTTTCAGATGCTTGTAAACTCTCAGATGTGAATAATAAAGCAACTTTGTAAAAATTGTAAAAAATATCCCTTAGGTCCAATCTACAACAAATAATCACACACACACACACGCACACACACACACACACAGCTGGAGCCATCATGCAGCGCTAATTCTATTTGTGCCGTGACAACTGAGTGTAAAAGCTAACAAGGATTAATGGGGGTAAAGGAAGAGTGATTCAATTTCCTCACAACCCTGCATGCACCACATATATTTGCGCAAATCAGAGGCAGGATGCAGATAAGCTCACTATACATGGACCTCAGAGCTGTATTTTGGGTGGGGGAACAGAAGCGCAGTTGCACTGCTGCTCCATTAACATGTATTTTTTATCAGCAACTGTGCACAGTGCTTCCATGACACACCAGCTCTCTACCATGCTAACCCTGACATACCAAAGAGCATCAGTTCTCATAAACAATCCATCATTTCTGACACAAGAACGGAGCACATATGCTGCAAATACAAACGGATATTCACATGTAACAGATAAAACAGAAGTGAATGTATGAATTGTGAATTTTTATCCTATTGGTGGTGCAGTGAAGTGGTGTCATAGTGCATGACCTTCACTGAGGTTTCATTTCCCATTCTGCATTTTGTAAAGTAAGTCATTTAGTTTTATGAAATTCCAACAATCGCACAACCTCTGACAATTATCAGGCCTACTCAAAATGCTAAGAACCACATGCCTATGCAGATCTTTTCCTCTAAGAAGGGCAAAAAACTCCTTTGGGCCAAAAATGCAATTAAAGATTGATGGAATGCGCTGTCTGTGGACCGCAAAAGCAGCTTTTTGCCCAGCACTTAGAAGGTTGGACTGATAATGTACCAGGTTGCTTATGGCTCTCATGCTTGAGGTTATGGGGAAGAAATGAATGTAGAAGCATTCGATGATTGTATGAATGGAGATAGATCTGTAAGGTATTCCTCAGACATGGCAGGTCAGGTGCTAGTGTGTGTCACAGCATGCTAGGAGTTGCTGTGTATTGTCTTCAAATAATCGGTGTACAGCTCGTAATGCTACCACCAAAAGTAGGATCTTACAAATCTCATGCAGCCAATTAAGTAAAGTCCAGGGGAAAACATCCACATAATGGATGGATGGCATGTTCTACATGCATGAGGTTTGCCCCAGTACTTACTGCGCTAGCTGTACCATCAGTGTCGGTTAGCCGCTGATGCAGGTCAAACCAGACTGTCTGTAACAGGAATAAAGACAGAAGAACCACTCGTGAAATCAGTTTTGCTCCTCAGTTGTTTTCGGCTGCAGTTACTTATCCACACAGACCCTGAGGTCAGAGAGATAAGTGCATGCTTTAACCATAAGCGCCTGCTTTCTCAGTCTGGGTACAGAAATGGATCAAACGTTAACAAAATAGCTTCTCGTAATACAAGCTTCCTGCTGCCAGGTAGAATTCTAACAGAAATAAATAAGTTTCTTTCACACCCTCTTAAACCCTCATACCCTCTAACCTCTGAAAGGTTTTAATTCTTAGATTTTTACTTATATTTTTACTGTTTTATAATGATAAGATTGAGATTGAGATGCAACTTGAGATATGCTATATGAAAACATGCTATGCATATTACATTTATTATTAATAATGATTATTAATTATATGATTATTATGCATTATTTTTGCAATTAATTAACTTATGTGTAACTATCAAAGAAAGTTACAAATTGTTGGTGCTTAGAAAATATTCAACATGAGTCACACGCCATCACTGGTCACTCCAACTCATGTAGTTTTTAAAAAAACTGCTGTTCAACCTGGCTTTTTTCAAATGCATAAAATTAAGCTGCAAATCAGATTGTGTTAATTTTTCTTCCAATCTCTCTGGTTCAAACACAATACACACAAAAATAACTTGTATTGTGAATAGGAACAACCTATTTTGGAAGCAAAATAACATGTACCACCCTTAATAATGCTACTGATTCATATTCAGGCTTTGCAAGTCTAATGCAAAGTATGCCATTGGGAAACTGCATAATAAACTTAAAAGTCAGAGTATTCTTGCAACAAGCCTCTGAATACATAAGTAATAATTCATGAATTATGAATTCTATAAAGGTTATGCACAGTCTTGACCTAATAAATGATTTGTTCAATTTTCCAAGAATGTTTGAGCATTACTTACATTTCAGTTCTTATCAAACAATTTTTTAAGACAGATAAAGCTTATTATCCAGATGTTCATACTTGGCTAGAGAATGGATAGGACACATATAACAACTGACAGACAGGATAAGTATTAATTACAGCTTAATCACTATTAAAACTGGACAGTCTATTTCCCATCAGATTAAAAGGTCCCTGCTTCCCTGATTACTGTTGTGTTTAACGACTCATGCAGGCTGGACAAAACAGATTTGTTGCCTAAACAGACACATCTGGATGACCCAATCTCCCCCCCAGTGAGGTACCTGGAAGCATGAATTTGGAAGAATGAAATCAGATGGAAGTAAAGTCTCACCTATATCATGCTGAATATTAATTAGGGTTCTTATGATAGGAACACATAGGTAAATCACTGACAAATGTTATGCTTATAAATTTAAGCATGTAAAAATCTAGCTTTGTCTACTCTCTCACCATGAGAAGCATTTTCACACCATTATATGAATGGAGTGGATGGAGACCAAGATCTACTGTCAGCACTCTCCACTCGAAGAGAGCTGAAAGAGCTGAAAGCATAATGGTTGCTAATGACGCTATATATCTGCAGAGATCTCTTGTAGAGGCCGGAGATGATGGCTTATCCATCATGCGTTGGATGGGTCAGGATGGCAGTCACTGTGGGGGTGAATGGCAGGAGATCCAGGGATGGAGGTCTTAAGGACGCCACTGCGGGAAGTGAAGGAAATGCGTTTTCCCCGAGCAGTGGGATTGCATTATACAGATAACAAGAGCTCTGTGATGAGAGTGATGCCTCATTCAGCTGTAAGCCCGAGCTGGTCAGGCTGTTCCTCTCTAACCCAGTGGTTGTATACCATCATGTGCTATGATCATTATTGCAGAAGACGGACTGATATCCTGCTGTACCCATTTATGTGGCAGCAGCTTGCATGGGTTGATGATTAACTCCTTAAGCTCATGACTTACTATAGTTATTATTCATCTTAAAGCATATTACTTAATATGTACTATGAATCATTCAGTAACTACAGTGAAATTAAAAGGAAAGATATGTAGTTATGAGAGTGAGACCTAAGAGTCTGAACCCATCAACAAGGCCTGGGAGTATAAGAAGTATATGGAAGAGCTCAGAAGAGCTTCACTAAGATAATTGATTATAATCAAATTATATGATGAAAATGTAATGTTTCTGATGAAGAGTAGCTAACAGTCAATAATGAAGCATTCATTTTTCACTGAGGTTGAAAAGTAATCTCATCAAGAATTTGTTGTAATTATACAGAGCATTTTTGTTGCATTAAACTACAAAGTTTAACATGTACTTTGTCCTAACCAACTGTTCAGAACTTTTTCACACAATTATTAATTTATACCATTTGGATTGTATAAGTATCTACA